CTCAGGCACCCCGGGGCAGCTCCCACCTCTGCACCCCGTCGTGATCTGTGGCTCCTCTCAGACTCATTGCAGCTTCACTGACTTCACCGGGCGCACGCAGTATTTATGCGCCTTCCGGGCTCCGAAGATGGGCGGGGTTGGGAGGAGACTTTCCAGGGGACGTTTACGAGCCTCCCAGCAGGTCGGGGCGCCCAAAGCCCCTTTGGTTTTCAGTAGAACGTGTCAGATCCAGATTCCCCAGGAAGTGGCAGGCCCGGTGGGGGTCAGGGTGCCGGCCGGGGTGGTGCCTCCCCCCCGTGTGGCTGGCTCACGGCAGTGGGTCTGTCCAGGCGCCGCCGGGCCCCCACGCCTTAAAGGGGCGCCAGCGTGTGCTGCCTGGTGTGGCTCCGGTGATTTCCAGAAAGCTCTCGTTCATCGTGGTCCTGAGGTGGGGATGAAGGGAAGCTGGGTGTGTAAAAGTGTGCACACTGTGGTAACTGAGGTCTGAAAAGAGAACGTGCCCACTGGAACGTGGCGTCTTAGAAGCGCCCCCCGGCCACAGAAACAGGCCTGCCCCGTTGAGGTCAGTGCTGCGCAGTGGCCAGGGCCCGGGGGGAGACGGCCAGCCTGGCCACGGCCAGTCCAGCGTCAGCCAGGCTGGCTCTGGCTCACACCTCTCGGCCCAGGTAGAGCAGGAGGTCTGCTCAGCTGCTGTCAGCTGGGTTTTGAGTTCCTTCTTTTATCATTTTGGGGAGAAGAATGTTGGGCCTGTGATAGTTGCTGCTTCTGGGAGTGGGGCAGAGGCCAGAGCCGTGGGCCGTGGGCCGTGGGCCGTGGGCGGTGGGCGGGCCGGCTCTGGCGAGGGTGCTTAGGGCTGCGCCCTTCCCTCCCACAGACGGCCGGCCCCTGTACGTGCTCCGGCTGGGCCAGATGGACACCAAAGGCCTGGTGAGGGCCCTCGGGGAGGAGGCCCTGCTCAGATACGTGAGTGTTCCGGCGTCTCGCGGCCTTCCTCTGCCCGCGGGAGCCCGAGGGGATCGTGCACATCCAAAAATTCTAAGAGGGCGAAATGTTTTCCGCACGGGCAGCGCCAGCAGATAAGCGAGGCCACCCGGGCGCCGGCGGGACCGGCCGCGTCACGGCCTCCTGCACTTGCTCCCCGCCCCCGGGAGACCGGCTGGCCCCCTCCTGCAGGCTGCCACCGCGCCCCGGCCTCCAGGTCGTCATCCCGCCACGAGGAATGGGCGAGACCCAGCCACGCGGCCATGTCCGCGCGCTCAGCCCGGCGCG